CAAAAGACCCAATTTTGACTGATACAAAAGCAGGCGGTTTTATGTTTTTTTCTCCTGGCACTATACTTTTATTATTGTTTCTTATTTTTCTCATGTTTGCATAATATTCATGTGCATTTTTGTGCATTAAAGTATTATCACATACAGAATTACTTAAAAATTCCTTTTCCTGCACAATATTAATCTCAATGAATCGTTTAATTTGAAAACCTTTGAATAACATAACCAAACATTCTTTTGTTTTTCCAAGGAATTTAGGTTTGCATGTTATTATGAATTTTATGGATTTTTGAGGATAAATTTTAGTAGGAGTAGTTAAAAAGGGCTCCACTTTAACTTGAGAATCCCTTTTGTTACTAAGTATAATCCATTTATTTAAAGTGTATATTTCATCACTGTTATTGGATACAATTAATTTTATTTTTGATACATTATTAAAATTTAAATTCTGAAATTCCAATGGATATGTTACATCAATTTGTTTCTCTTTTTCAAGCTGCAAAGTTGCTACATTATCATCAGTACATTGTTTATTATTTTCATTGGAGTAATCTTCTAGGACTAATAATTTAATTGCCCTCCATGTACACAGGTTTTGATTACTTTCTATTGCTTCCACCATTACCTTAAATTTTAATAATATAGATTAAAAATGTCATTCATGTTACAAACTTTAATGTCTATGCAGAGGGACAGACTATGTGAAACACCAAGAAATGTGTAAGAGCCTTTTAAAGATAAAAAAAAATTACAAAAACATTACCTTTGATTTTATTTCAGGTTGATATCCATTCAATAAACAATTTTTGTCAAAATATATTAATCTATCACATGTGCCATATGTTCCCGTCCAATCAGTAATATAAGCACTTGTTATTTTAGTCCTTAGAGGTTTAAATGATATCACTGATAGTACCTGGAAATTATTTCAATAAAAATAATGATAAATAATGAATTAGGCAACTAACTATTGGTATATTTTATTTGATATTTGAACTGGGTATATTGGAATATTAGTTAAAAAAACTTGAACAAAAAAGGAAAATTTTATAATTAATAATACCTGTTTCATAGAAATATCAAATGGCTTGTTGTCATTCATTTGAATAGTACATGTTATTTCCAACCAATCTCCATTAATTGGTACAAATGTGCCTTTAACATCGTCAAGATTAAATTTAACATCACTTTCTTTGAGATAAACATCTCGATTCTCTCTGTGTTCAACTTCCGCAACCAGGATATGTTCGATCACTTGAAAACTATTCTCCTCTGTTTCTCCTTCTTCACCCCAAAACAAGCCTTTATTTTCTAGTATTCTTACAACAACGATTGATCCATTTGAATCTTTATAACCCAAGTACAATACCTGATCATTGACATTACAGCTGCAGCTGCAATTTGATATGTCAAAATAAAGCATTCCATCTATCATGACATAACTATCATCTTTGAATGTTATCACACCTGAAAAAATATAATTTTAAATTGATATTTATAGTTATTATAATATAATAAAGACACAATAAATTATACTGAACTGCCAACAGACTAAATAAAGTATTGCAAAAATTAAATAATTGCTTCACTTAACACTGTTTCATAGTACACAGAAGCTCATAGAAATATGTAGGGTTGCACCTGGATAAGGACAACTGTAGTAGTTTCTCTCAAAATCAAGATTCAGACCGGACAATGATTCTCGCTTAAAGGATTTTTACTTATCCAGGTTCAGCTGTATTTCATTTATAGTCAAGTATCAAAATAAGCATTCATAGGCATAAAATCTCTATCCTGTATTGTAAGCTAATATGAACTGTCTATGAGTTACGCTAAAAAACTTACCTGTTCTTTGAAAACAAATTGCATTATTGGGTACATCAACATTATCAACTTTATAATTTTGTTTCTTCTCCTGCTCACTAATATATTCTAAATCGACTAGCTGTTCTGCAAGGTAGTTCTCTTTGTATTCATCATTGTCTTCCTCACAATCTTTATTGAAAAGGTAATTAAACCAAGAAGCAATATATGATACCATTGTGAATTTATTTACTATTATATAAAACTACTGCGCAAAACCTTTATCATGCTCAAATTTCCACTCTGTAGATTTTAGATAATCAAGTTCTTTTCTAATAGTTTGAATTCTCTTCTGGTGGAGTTCATTTTGCGCACATTTTAAAGACTGTTCAATACTTTGGCCTAAGTCCCCATGTTCTATAGACTCATCGAACTTTTGTTTTCTATTTTGAGGTGTACCCTGAAATGTAATAAGTAAATAAATTGAAGAAATTTAATTAAATAATGTATTTTAACATAGCGTGACAATACTTGTGGAGTTTCCGATTCTGAAGCAGAATACGCAGACTGAGAAATGTTACTGGATGTAGACATCACGTGTGTACCTGAAGCGAAAAACGGAATCGTCTATCCAATGTTATCAAAACATTTTTTAATTAATTTAAGATATTATATCTTTTAGTATATACTTGCTTATACTCAAAGTAGTATACCTTGTTTAAATTTTTGAAAAGACGATAATTTGACAATTTGACAAACAAAAGAAAATACGGCAGGGAATAGGGATGTCTGTATAAGTAATCGGTTTCGATGATTTTCGAATTTGCGAAATTTGTTACGATAATGTGTTACAAATCGATAATATCCCACCCTGATCCTGATCATAGTAAGTAAAATTGTTTCATTTTAAAACGCCTATAAAACTTACAAAATTTTGCACTTTAGAAACTTTAGATAATACCTAATTTTGTTATGAAAAATTTCTTCTTTGTGGGCTGGACTTCAAACCAGACCACTGTTACAATCTGTAATATATTGTCAAAAGTAAAAAAAAACAAAATGTCACAAAAATAAAACTGCAAGTGAGATTTTAAAGTTTTTTAATATTTTACTTTTAATATTTAAGTCATCTAACTTTTTAAAATTGTATCGAATTGAACTTAGTCAATATGCCGAAGAAAAAGGTTATTTTAAAGGCGCAGGTCCCTGATAATGAAAATACAGATGCTTTAATGTCCCCCTGTTTGTATATTAATCCAGATGTTGAATTTAAAGACATTCCTACAACAGGCGAGGAATACCTATTAAAAGTTATGAAAGAACGAGAAAAATATTCACAAGTGACTAAATGTCAACAAGATATTTCAAAATTTGCAAAAAATCAGTCTTGTTTTGTAGCGGAGGTAAATATACAAATTGTAATGTATACGTACAAAAATTTGAAAAACATGTCAAAGACCACGTATTAAGTTTCAAAGTTTAACTCACGTATTTGATTTACAGCTTCCACGAGCGTATGTTGCTGATATTTTTAAACCTACAATTGAATGGCAAAATATACAAGTTGCAGATTTTTCAGATGTTAGAATGTATATATCTCGTATTATATCAAAAAAATCGCAATGGGCAAGTACAATACGAAAAATAGAAATGGAACAAGATAATTTATTAGGCTGGAAAAGATTTTTTAAAATGAATGAGCCAACTTTATCTTGTGTTCTTGGTCTGCCATACACTTTACTAGACCACGCCTTAGAAATTTTAACAGATATAATTGATGATGTGCCACCAGGAGAAACTATTGATTATAAAACAGGTATACTTATTGATTGACATTTAATTAACTCTATATGGTAAGGAAATATGCATTGATCATAAACATATGTAACATATGTTTGACCAACATGCTAGAAATTGTTGATTTTGTGTGTGATAAATATAAAATCTTGCTTATTTATATTGAGGAATATTCTTAAAATTTTAGGCCAATGGATTTATGCATTTCTTGCTTGCACAAGGCTACCACTGTTGTCCGACACCACAAGCATATTAAGGAATTTAGCAAGAAAATGTGCAGAAATAAGGTATAGTGCTATTATTTTGTGCTTATCAATAAAAAAATCTGTAATTTATAATATAGCGAATGTACCATATGAAAGTGCAGGAATAGTTATGTTAGTTAATTTCTATAGTAGTTTTGCTGTATTTTGAAAATCTGAACTTTACCTGGGTGGCTACTAAAAGTTATATTTTATGCATTGCAGGTCACATATAAACCCAGAACAAGAAAGTTCAAGAGAAGCTGTAGCACCTTTAAATATTTTTATATGTTTGGTATCAAGGTATTTTAGACAATATGACTTAGCTGATTGAAGAAATTTAATCAAAGAGCTGTTACGAAAATTATTCAAGCCATTTTTTAAAATAAAACTAAATCTACAATTGTGACTAAATAGTCTTGTGAACATAAATACACCTGAAATTGCTGTATCATGTTTAATCTTGATTATTGCATTTTTTTTACTACAATAATGTGAAATTGGTTATTAAATGTGTAAATAAATTATTATTTATCTAAATACATCTTTTTATGTGAAATATGTCAATGTTTTAAATAAAAATATATAATCTGTAATTTTAGATTAATTAAACTGATATATAAACACGGCTAAACACTCACGTATATACGTCCGGTGGCGGCACCGACTAGTTTCGAGCCCATCGGGGGCCCTTCATCAGGATGAGTGCTGAGTATTTCGCGGACGCGGCCCGTCGCTCACTGCGAGCGACGGGCCGCGTCCGCGAAATAATACCAGTGCCACTCATCCTGATGAAGGGCCCCCGATGGGCTCGAAACTAGTCGGTGCCGCCACCGGACGTATATACGTGAGTGTTTAGCCGTGTTTATATATCAGTTTAATATAATGTCTCACGAAAGTTTGAATAATTTAGATTAATTGTCTTCTAATGCCATAGATTACAATTAATTGAAGTTAATTAGAGTAATTAAAGTCTATTATTGCCACAGATCTAATACGAAGATGGCCTAATTCAATCTAATCTTACAATTTGAGGCAATCACCTCTAATTTATACCAATCAATGAATTTAAATTAACAGTGGTAGAATCCGCAGCAGAAAGTCACTGCTGGATACATAGCACAACCAATTCAACTCCATGACTTTAATAACAGTGAATGAAACAATATATTATTGCTTTAATAATTACAATGTGTTCGGTGTCCATTTATTTGCATCAAGTCAAAAAAAAAATCCTAAAGTTTTCAATAACTCAAGGATACTCTTGGTCATCGACGTCGAAGTGCACGCCGACTTGTTTACGAATCTCGTCTTCCAATTTCGCCAGCAAAAGACTCTCTTGGTGTGACATTCTAGGTGACTCCTTTAGACCTAGAAATTAAATTTAAAGCTCTGTTATTTGTGAAGAAGCTACAAGGTATGTTATACATCAGACATACATAAAACATTTTTGGAATCATGGAAATTTTACTTTATAAATTTATATCATCCAAAATAATGCTAGTTTGAAGTTGTTCTATACAATAAAATATCCATTTCACACAATTGGAATTATTAACTTTATTGCTGTTGAATAAGAGTAGTCTTACCTAGTTTTATACATCTCGCGACTTCCATAGCTTCGTAAACTAAACCTGCGCTGTTTTCGAAATTGTATGGGATGCTGGATGTGTGCAGCGGGATTTTTTCCGCCGTTCCATCCACGTGAATTAAAGTTTCGGGGAAATGGAATGGGTCTTCTATCTGTAAATTTGAATAAGACTTTAAGAATTTATCATAATTATATATAATTTATCTTAAACTTTAAGAAGTCATGACAAATATGGCCAATTATACCAGTAATACTTGGAAAACAATGTTAATTCAATCTAAGATTCGTGTTAGAAGTTTGCACCTAATTGAACTGTTTTGCGTGCTAGCGTGCCATTTGCTCTTGCCACCGCATTTAAGACGAATTCGAAGAATGTATATTATAAGAAAATATTTTGCATTTGGTGCATGTAAACGTAATGAAAGTCTCCATAAAATATACGTACCGTCGCTCTTCCTTTGGTTCCGTATACCGTTGCCTTGTTCCAGAGTCGCACCTGTGTATTAATAATAAGCACTGCTTTCTTGCCACCCTTATAGTCAAGGATGACGGTGTCAACTAAATCGACTCCATCTTCATTGAGATCTCCAATAGCCGTCACTTTGATGGGCTCTTCTTTGAAAATGAATTGAGCGAACTGCAGCGTGTAAATGCCAATGTCTAGAACCGCACTACCTCCTAAGCCTTTTAACCTAAAAAAAATCACTTAGTACGATTATGTTGGAAAAACTGAAGAAATGGCTATTAATTTCTCATGATTTTGGTTCAAATTAAAAGATTTTTTCTTACCGAAGTCTGTCAACCGCAGCTATTGGCACACCGAAATTAACCTCGACGTATTGAATGTCTCCCAATTTACCAGCGTTTATGTCCTTTTCCAGCTCTATATACGCTGGTGAGAACCTAGACCAGACAGCTTCCATCAGGAACAAGTTCTTCTTCTTCGCGAATCCAATCAGACTCTCTGTCTGTTTATAATTGAGGCAAAGAGGTTTTTCGCACAGGACGTGCTTGCCGTTTTCAAGGTACAGCTTGGCCAGCTCATAGTGATCGGGGTTCAAAGCACCGATGTACACAACGTCTGAAATAATTGATAAGTACTTAAGTTAAATAAGTAAAACATTAAGTAAACATTCTGAATAGCACCTACGTATAACTTTCAATCCCGACTGTTTATTTCTATATTCCCTACATAAAAGTGAAGAAATGTAATCAGTTTGACGCAATTATTGTTCATATATTTCTTTAAAGGTTCACATTTTCTATTAAATTAATCGTGTGTTCTTAATTCAATATAAAACAAATAAATAGTAAAAACACAATTACGCCGACCGAACTGGAAAAATACGTGTGTTCAGTGTGACTACTGAGTTCGGGCAAGCAGATGATTGAGTGTGGGTGTACTAAAAAAAACATGCACCGATGTCTTTGCTGGCAGCCATAGATTGGTAGCTATCGAACACTTTAGCGATGCTATGTGTCTTGGCGAATGCTGCCGCTTTGGTCTTGTCGCGAGCGGCCACCGCGGCTATGACTTGGTCCCCTTTGTCGGGGTAGGAGTTGAAGGCATTGGCGAAGTCATGGCAAATCTTGCCTGCTGTAACGATTCCCCAGCGAAGAGTCATCTGTGGAACAATATTTATCTTATGATATTACGTATGCATGTAGGGTAACATATCCTTTATATTTCCAAAGAAGTTTTGTCCGTGTTATTCATATTTCGTCACTCCAAACAATCGCCTATCAATATCATTGGGTTGATAATATGATCTTAACCACTTATAGTGTGTCTATTTATCTATATGACGCCTATGAAGTATTGAATTAATATTGTATGATGATTAATATTGTATTCAATGGACTGTTGTCATAGTGTCGACCGTACGTGCATAACGAATAATATTAACTATCGAGAATCGGTCTTATAATAAAATTAATCGAAGTAATAAGTATTATTGAATTCGTTACACATATTGGGCTAAGTCTCGCACAATCTGAATTTTTGGCTTTATGATTTTTTCTTTCTGAAGTTTTGAAGAATATAGTAGGAATAAAAATAATCATTTTCATTTACATTGTAATTCAAAAACAATAATCCAAATTTTTATTGCAAGTTCTATGAGAATCATCTAAAACCGAAAATTTTCATAACCGATTTTACTCAGCACATCTCTAGTGAATTGTTAAATGAATTGTCAAACGAATCAATCTTGGACACCATTGTTGGACACGATATAACTGCACTGAACTGCATCGAGGTTAAGGACTTTTCACTGTATATAACATTATTATAACCTGTTTTCCTTTATGTTTAATACATTAACAATAAAATATTTATTATTTTCAAAATATAAACATAGTTAATTTAAACGGTTTCACTGTTATCAATAAAAACACCGATTTATTCTTAAAATTATTCCCAATTTATAAATTCGTAACCTCAAACTTATTTTTAATTGCGATAACTCAATATAATTATAATGTTATATGCCTAAAATTAAAACATTTACCTTTTTTGCCAACTTCGTTGCCAGTTACAGGTCTAGTACGTTCGGAGGCAGAATTACAAATACACAACTAAAGTCAAATCATTAAATATGGAGATCGACTTTGGATAGCGAAAACTGATTATAGTAAATTACATAAGTTTCACATGAGTTTTATCGTTATCGGACATTCAAGTATTTAATAACAATGTTGGCCTTGTTATGATTACCAATAGATAACTTGACTTTTTTAAGGACAAAAAAAAAACAAACAACAACGCTCTAGTGTCATTCAGCCAGGTTTAGGTAGGGGATATATTGGTTGAATCGTATAAAATGGAAATATAGACACGCATCTACTACAATTTCTAGCATATTATGTATGTGAAGAGCGGCTGCTTCGATAATTAAGCGATACGTTGGCATTGCATACTCATTTACTTTGTGATATAAAAGAACCTATAATCGACGACGGTCGCTTGTCACTAGTCTCGTACATAGGTATATATCGTACATAAGCTATAGAGCTTAGATTTCTCTTTTTTTGTGACTAGTTGACTAATAAAAGATAAAAAACACAACTCCAGTACATGAACAGTCAGCGTCATATAGATCGTCACAGACAAGATATGCAAATATATAGGTACACCAAAAGTATTCAATTATATCGGTAACTTTTTTGATAAAATAAAACAATTTTATGTATTTTCGTTATTCTTGTAACATTTTGTGCTTAAAATACACTATTTGTGAAGATGATTCGTATGTTTTAACAAGCTCAGGTTCGGCCTTGGGTATAAAAATAAGCTAGACGATTTGCAAGAAATTTTGGCGAAGTAATTCGAAGTATAGTTTTAATGTTGTTATATTTATTGCTAGCTTTTATCCGCGACTTAGTCCGCGCTAAATTAAAAATTCTTGTAGTAAATCATACAGCTCATGTCCCTAAGTAATAATGTTGCAAAATAATTTTTAAAATCGTACCAGTAGTTTTTGAGTTTATTCGTTACATACTAAACTTTTCTCTTTATAATGTTAGTATATATAGATAGTTTAGAAGTCTAGATTGGACTAGAAATAACCCAGAAGCAATTTTTAAACAAAGTAATAAATCAAATTCTTCTGATTGTTTAAACGTTATAAGTACCTAATTTACGAAAGTTTATTGTAGCTCGGCAAATGAAAGATAATAAGAAATGTAATACCATTATTCGTACTTTATTCTAAAAGATTGACGATATGTAATAATTAAATCTGTAATTTTCTCCTACTTTAATATAATAGCAATAATTTCTATATTTAACATTTTAAAACCAATATTATAAACGTAAAAGTTTATGATGTAATTGATATTAACTAAGAATAGGCTGCTTATTAATTCTATTCCTAACAAGTAACATGGAGAGTTTATTTACGAAATAACCTTAATGTAAGTAATAAATGGAACTTCGAGGCCCGCAAAAAATATTTCATAAAACAAAACAGAAAAAATCTCAAAAGTAGTTTTTAATCAAAGAGTTTCTTTATTCAAAACAGAGGCAGGAAAGTAACACTTGTTTATTGTCTTTAAAAAAAACAAGTGATCTTTGTGTCAGGCGATGACCCGATTTGATCTATGCTAAAAAGCCCTATTGTGGTTAAAAAAAGGAAAACATTGTTATCATATTTAGAAATTCAAATTAGGTTCATTTGGTATTTTAATAAATAAAATGCAATCATTTGAATTGATCTATATTGACATAATTTTGGTTATTTTAAAATCAAATTTTTTACACATTTATAGCATTATACATTTATTTATATGACGATTTGTTAATAAAATATTTATATGTAATTACAATTTTAATTGATTGTAGAATTTTTATAAAAGTGCAAGACTTGATACTGTACAATTTCTATTTAAAAGCATTTAAATAAAACAATATATATAAAAATAATATGATTGTATACATTCAAAAAGGTAATAAATGCAAAATACACTATTTTCTTAATAAAACTATAAATACAATGAGGAACTAATAAAGGAAAAAATTGTCTATTTGCCCAACTGACATACTGACAGCAAAGGAGGGTCGATGTCTCCATTCCATTGTGACTTCTTATAACCTCAACTGCTTAACTAATTTTAATCAGTATTACTATTAGCGTAGAGTTGAAATCGTCGTAGCCCTTGTACTAAAACGTCGTATTGCTATCTCCTTCATTATCTTTGATAAAAGAGAGACAACAATATGTATTGATTGATACTCAGATTTTTCTCTCTTGTCTCCTTCTGTCAGTCTGGCTTTGTTGGTATTTAACGGCCTAACCAAATAATCGATCCATTGTGAGTCTTTAAGTGTTTTTTCTTCGATCATAAGGATTGGTTCCTTGATTCGGCTGTTAACGATTATTTGTAATAATTTTGTTTAGTAATTATATTACTATCAATTTTTTTATAAAAAAAAATATTAAATTAATCAGAAGGCAGCTTTAAAAGCTTGATCTAGATCGTCAATCAGATCCTCTGTGTCCTCGAGGCCGACAGACAGCCTGATGAGGGAATGCGTGATGCCCAGCTCGTTCCTCTGCTCCTCAGGTACAGACGCGTGGGTCATCACTGACCTGGAAGTAATCATATTCATATTATACCATGACATACAAACATAAAACGACGGTACTTATACATAAGGTCGAAACTCTTTTTAAGCAATATCACTTTTTATGCTTTTCAAATACCGAACTGATAGTTGTTTAGTCGAAATTTGACCATAATTCACAATATTAGAGTAGTTTAATATATATCAAAATTAGCTTTGTGTACTTTTTTGTGAGCATGAAACTGCGGGATAAAAATACATACTATATGGGATGTTAACTATCACTATAACGTAATTTGGGGAAAGAGAGAAAATATCGTTTAGCAACTGGCAAGTTTCCAAATTTTTCACTCGGAACAAATGACTAGATAAATGAGAAATATTTACAACGGCGAATCGACTAATATCCACGTCGCGGCGCACCATGTCAAATATAGATTTATATTAGAATATAACATACTTATCAATCTATACAATAAATAAAATTAGATTGTCTGTATGTAACTTCGAATAATGATCTATTTGCTTGGCGTGTATGATTTTTTATCAATCTATCTGTCCAGGCGTGGAGCAAGAGATGAATTTGATTTAGGTGACATCTTCCACGAGGCCCTCACATGGCCTTTTTTTTACTTTAATTTTTATTTCTTTCGTAAAGTAGTGCCTTAGGCCTCTCGTTTTCGTATTCATGTATATTAGAATGCCATTAATAACCATAGGACTAAAGACAATGATTATTAGAATTTTGTCAGATTGACTGCGTGTTTGTGGACGCTAGTGTCAGAAACGGTAATAGTTTTTTTTTTACTTTTTCTTAAAATATTAATCTCGTATCATGTATTTATATTTACAATCCCGATCAAGTTTGATAAGAGTAACATTTTTCAATAATAACAAAGGATTTATTAAAAAGTAATTAAAGTTTATTAGCATCTTAATCCAACTTATTAATTAGTCATGATTTGATAAGAAGCGCATTTATTGTTTAAACAGAACGTAATTGCATTGTTAAAAGTTTTATACAAAGACCCATACGTATGGAATGAAGATTGCATAGATTTAAACTGTTACAATGCGTTGTGTTGTATATTTCCGTCAAACGTTTTGAAGAACATAATTCAAAAATTTTGAAAAAAGTAAGTATTTCTATTAAAGCTTATCGGATAAACTTTGATAAAAGTAAGCATTTATTGCCTGTTTTGATATAATACGATTTCGTTTAAACTACTTACGGTAATTCAGCTAAACTCTCATATCCGCCGAGACTTTCGGCCAGGATGAACAACTTTATGGAACTCAAAAACTTCCTAGACTCCTGTAGTCCGCCGACATGCTTGAAACTAAACACTCCCGAATGCCCCGTCATCTGTTTTTGTGCGATGGCGTACTGTGGATGTGATGGCAAACCTAAAAATGAACAACGACCATTAACAAGACGTAAAATAATAGACAATAGATTTTAATTATCCGTAAATAGAAATAATTAACAAGGAATAGGTTTAAGAGGAGAATGCTTGGTATAATAACATTCAAACATCTTGTCGGCTCGGAACATCGTAGTTTTAGGTGTAGCGAGGCATAAAGGGATAGCGAAAGAGGCGCACTGCGCAGATGACCTTGACCGCCAAAAAGATTAACAATAATAATATTATAAGATTGAAGGATTCTAACAGGACCCAACGTCAGGTACGACTATGGTCAAAAACTAATTACCCTAAAATTGTAGTCAATAATGACACATAGTAGACTTTACCTGGATGTAAGACTTGAGTAACTTTGGGATGATTTTCAAGCCATTTAGCTATTACGTAGGAAGACTTCTGATGCTGTTCCATTCGAAGAGCTAAAGTCTTTAGACTCCTGTTGACGAAATAGCAATCTGTGGGTGACGGTACCACTCCCATGGCTGCAACAATAATTTTTTATAGAATATAATTACACTCGCACTCAGAATGGTTAATGAAACCGGAGGATGTTAATCCTTCGTTTAGGACCTCCTAAGGATCTCCGTTATTAACATATCTGAGTGCGGCAGCTAGATGAGAACAAACAACTTTTCATTACACTAGGTCAATGAATGTCAACGACGTTAATGTAGTACAAACAAATGCGGGCTTTGTGAGTTATCTGAGAAACTAGGGCAAAAATTACACATAATGTAAATTTGCTGGCTGGTTATAGACATAAAGAAAAAAAATTATAACTGTCATCAATAACCAAATACCATATACATAATAACCATATACCAAGTTTCCTTCAACTAATAATCCTTTTATTTCGTATAATTATGTCTGTGTACATATACATATAAACACACATCAATCGAAAATTTCTTTGTATGGGACCATTTAACACTACTTTGCAAGTTTGAGCGGAAGAGTTTTGTAAATATTAGTTTACATTGTGAAATACAAAGACGGAATACAATGAATCATAGAAAATGACAATTATTATTAGTTAGAACTGAACTCATAGAAACACTTGAATATAATCAATTTTGTGATCATTTTCTATGCAAGTCATCACTCGACCGTCACTCGACATGACTTTACATAAATACAACTGAACGCATTGTTTCCATTAACCAGGTGATCGTCAGTAAGTACCTATATTTAGTTATAGTTACGTTTAATATTCCATACAACTTAATGCTAACGTTTAGAGTCCGCTTTATGGGTTATTACTTCATCCGCGTGGTGTTAAAAGGACTTAATTAGTAATCTATGTGTTCTACCAGGCTATATTCTACATCTATGCCTAAATCCAGCGAGATCCATACAGCCGTTCTTGAGATATCTTCAAACAAATATTCATCCATCCATCCAAACATTCGCATTTATAATGTTAGTAAGATTATACAAAAATCCTTTCCTCTCTCGTCAACTTTAAGCATAGTTAAGCTATAAAATATTCGTTGTTGTAAATTTATTTTTAAAATGAACATAGAAAAAGTATAGTTATACATAGTTAGGATTATGACTAGAGTTAATAGTTTTCAAGGATTTCCTCTTTAATATATTGAACGGAACAATAATAAATGTTGAATATATTCACGCGAGAATTTCATAAATTTCGTCTAATGTTTCTAAATATAAGCCGTTAACCGCAGTGTTTGTTACAACTTTAGCGAACGTCGTATAAATTTACGTTAACTTATATTAATATGATTAGATGTTACACAAATAATAGAGAGAACGTATGAAATATTTGCAATAGATAAAATTGATTATCTATCTATAATTTATAGGAGTATTAGGATCCATATATCATACAAGTCGAGTCGTTTATCAAAATACAATAGAGCCGTAATTCCAAGCTTTAGGTACTATGACATTTTATGTACACTTATATCAACATTATTTATAATTTATGTTACATTTTCATATTATGATGACTAATATCGAACTAGTAACAGTCAAGATAAAAAACTGAAGAAATAAAGTCATTGATATCCAAAGATATGTATACCTAGACAAACACAGAAGTGAGGCAAGATAAAAGGTCTCCGGGGGCTTCTTAATAGTAAATTTCCCCGGTATAATTTTTTTGTATCATAAGTTTATGTGTATTATCTTGATGGTTTAGTTGTTTACAGGGACCTGCAGTTTGCATAGAATTTTTTCTTTGTAGCTTAGGTATTTACAATATTTATTTCTCGTACGTCTAAAGTGGTATTATCAAATTATATCATAGTAGAGTATAATTTATTATTTATGTTATCGTTCTATGGTAAATAAATTTATAGCGTAAATAACTTGAAGATTGATTACAAGAAAACCTGCAATATGTTAAGAATTACACTTACATATTTTAAAGACATTCAATTATTCCTGAATAAAAACAGAGGTATGCATGCCTAGACGAACGTGGTACGTTTTTTTATGACAAATGGCGGCGAACGGAAATACCTAGGAATTGTCCTGGTAAAAAATAATAGGGTATGGTAAAATTTGCGCTTCATGTTTGTTTTGATAGTTTGTGGGTTTTGCCCAGTCTACTGTCATCTGTACAACAGCTGATCTCTACCAAAGCTGATATGTTTTAATAACACATAGCGACGTATAACTACATGCTATAATATATATAGTTAAAAGATATTGTTTGAAACTTGAATGAAAATATGTACTTTGCAAGAATTATTTGACCTTGAAATAATTATAGGTTCTTAACAAAGGCGTCACTTGACTTGCGTCACGCGTTATGTGAAACAATTACCTAATTTAAATTGCATGGTGTAAAATATAAAAGGCCGGATACATAGATGATGTAATGTTTCAAAAGGAAGACAACAAACAGTATAGACAACAAAAGTGTATTTTTAAATCGGCGATGTTATTTTAACAAAATAAATGCATATTTAATTACATCTAGTGACTATTTGAATGGTTCACTTGTAAATAACTAATACATAACATTGTTTTTTACATGAGTATTCATTAACGTTCAAATTAAAGCAAAGACGTTTTAAAAGAATACCATTTTTTTATTTTCCAGACATTATTTCCAGTGTCCTGCTGTGTAAATTTAAAAAAATGTTTTTGCATAATAAATATTGTCACAGACTATAAAATTTATTTAGGCATTATGAGTCATTTGTCTGGGGAAAATCGAATATTCCCTTCGGTATATTTCCGACATGTTTGATTACGTTTAAAAATAATACAAACGTATAAGGAAAGACACTAATAAAATTACGATGACGCGATTACTTTGGAGAAACAACTTGTTCCCAATTCTATAGTTCGGCACCAGCTTGTATGTAGGTGTGTCTAATCAGATTCGCGTATTGATTAACTTTGCATAGCAATGAACCGGATGTATTTAATATTTTTTTCTTTATGAGCCCTATCAAATAAGTCCTTGACTCTTTGAAAATGTGACTTTTTTGAAAATGTATTTTAAAATTTTTACAAAATATCATAACTAGTTTTTTTTTCAATATTATTATACGATATGTTTATTGATTAAAAAAAAAGAATACTCCAAAGAAAAATGTCGCATAGTAATAGTTAGTCAGAGTCGTATGGAAAATCATGGTCATTTTATGAGAAATATTGTTCATATTGGTCTATTTTAATCGATTTTCGAACCTTACCGGATTCAAGAGTGATTCCACCTGGTAAGAATCCTTTCATGAACCACATACTAATAACATTCGCTTGTCTTTGCTACTATTTGACTTAAATATGAATATCATATGTATGTGAAAAACTTACCGTTTTGCAAAAATCTTAATCTCTCTTCCAAACAATCGTCGTTAAGGACAGCTGCTCCCATGATGACGTCAGAATGTCCATTCATGTACTTTGTTAGTGAATATACGACGATGTCCGCACCAAAGTCGAGCGGCCGCTGTAGGTACGGTGTTAGGAAAGTGTTGTCGACGACCACTATTATGTCGCCCATCTCCTTAGCCACCTCCGACACAGCGGCAATATCTATTACTTTGAGAAGCGGATTTGTTGGGGTTTCTATCCAAATCATCTATAAATAAAATTATAAATTGTAACATACGATCACATTATCTGCAGATATTTTAAGTAATACATGCAAAAATATTTACTTAGATGAAAAAAGTTTGTACTGCATTTGATTTCTGGAAAAAAAACATACCGAATACCGACCCTACTGTGCTTAATTAACGCGCAATTTTTTTTTGTCATCGAATAATTTAAGAAAAAAAAACTGCGGATACCTACAGCATATATTAAGATTTATCACCATCGTTATCTTAACGTAAACATTTAATACCGAAAGTAGGCCTCTTTAGAGTTGGAAGATGACATACACCTTACTAATATTATTATTAACTCCGTATTACAAAAGAAACCAACGTGTTACAACTACGGTCCTTTACTTTAGTTAGTTAAGCCTTTTCTTCTTTCGAGTTAAGTTTTTTTTACAAAAATGTTATAATTTTTGGATTGTAAAAGATATTTGAGAACAGAATTTAATTTGGTCATTTACACATCAAAATAATCCAGTATCTTTAAACTTAAACATGTACTTTGTAAGAAATGAAATATGGTTTTACAACCGCGCACGCGCTTATCTTAGTATTATAAACATTCGGCTGTTAGTTTTTTGTAATATGTAATCAGTAGTGTTATCAGAAACTTAACCTTTACTAAACGTTTTTTTAACATATGCAAATTTTACACAAATATACTTGCGATGTTCATATGCAAACATTCTTATCAAACAATTTTGTTATGGTTTACACGTTATTATGAACATTTGAGTAACATAAAACAATTTCGCGATAAATGTTGTTATGAATGATTGATTACTAAAAAGATATGCTTTTCAAAACAATCCAGCAATTAATCAATTTCTTGCAAAAGCCAATATGAAACACTTTTAATAATTTCACCACAATATTGTAAATATTATTGCACTTTTAAAACAACATATTATATATAAAATGATGTATAGATCACTGTTTACTTAATATTTTTATAACATTATTAAAAGAATTTAAATTATATCACACTTTGACTATATTTATCCTGTCACATTTTATTTTTCAGTTCTTGAAGGAAATATATTGAATTACCTTTGTATTATCCTGGATAGCATTTTTAACACACTCTAGATCTGTGAAATCAGTAAAAGTTGTCTGTAGACCCAATCTTTCTAACACCCGCCTGTAACAATTAAACAATTTAGTTATATTTATTTACTAGCGGACCCGACAGACGTTGTCCTGTCTACACGTCTTTAATTTGAAAATTTGACACTGAGATGGTAGCGCCGTCTGTCGGATCCAATGTAATACATTCCAAAATCAACAACTACTAATAAATTAAAAATTAATTAAAAAAACATTGTCCAGCGGACAAAATTGTGAATCTAAACCATCCCCAGATCCCCTTGAACACACACAAAAAATTTCATCAAAATCGGTCCATTCCTTTGAGAGAAGTTCAGTGACATACACACTCACAGAAGAATTATATATATAAAGATTATTAATTTATAGTTTAAATATTACAGGATGTAACATGCACTGTCCAATAAAAGAAGGCAATGTAATATGGTAGCATTTACTTAGCCAATTTGAGGTGGCTAAAAAAAATCACCCAGGAAAGTAAGTAAAAATTATCAAGTGATGTTTCTCAAACCATATATTGTAGTGTTCCAAACTCAATATTTACCTGAACAATCTGTTTGTGCCTCCGTATACATCATCACAGGAGACAATATGGTCACCACAGCTAAGTAATGATGCAATAGTAGTTGTTGCTCCTAAACCTGATGCAAAAGTTAATGCATGCTTCCCTTTATCTAATGCAGCCAAGCATTCTTCTAGTGTATTTCTTGTTGGATTCCCTGATCTTCCATATTCAAAGCCCTACAAATATCATTACAAATTACATACAAATAAAATTAATTTACTTGAATAAATATAAGAACAAAATAAATATTTTACATGATATATAAAAAAAATAATATAATATGAGTAATTACAAACATCAAAAATACTATAATTAATTTTTTAAATATTTTTTGTTTTAATAGGAAATTACTAGTAATATCTGTTGCAAGTTGCATTTGAATGATGAAATGATGCAACAAATGTCATCAGGCTGCTTCAACATACTTTACACATATTTTTTTTGTATAGTTTTATCCACAATTAAGCAATAAGAGTAATGCATATAAAATTATGTAAATGTTATTATGTACTTGTGTAATTACTTACAGTATGTTCTGCAGGTGCAGGTTGCTTAAATGTTGTAGATGTAACTATGGGTGGTACTACAGCAGCAGAGTTCCATTTCTCTGGATCTTGACCAGCATGAATTGCTAGTGTGGCAAAACCAGATATTTTGTTTAAAAAACCGTCGCTAGCCATTTGGTGATGCAACTAAAAAAATATTAAAGTCTGTATAGAATACACAATTAAAACCAATTAAAGACAATGTCTGTCCGAAATTAAAATGACCTTGCGGAAAATGTCTAACCTCAATAAGAATTGGAAGTTTAATTACTGGCTATGGGAGTTTAATTACACTTTATAGAGTAACAAAAATTAGAAGTTTGGCTTTCAGCAATAATTAATTTAATGTTGTGCAATAATTTGTTCTTATATCACAGTTTTTGCAAGTAATTTGCTGGCTAATACATCAAAACCGTAGTAACCGGTAACTGGTGCCGGTGCTGGTGCTTTCATCAAACGTTGAGACCGTGTCAAATTTCAGTTAGGAAATGTATTTCATACTTACAGTGCGCTTCACAAATCACGAAAAAATAAATTGTATTTTAAGAAACAATGTAGTTTATTAAAGGATTAAATTAAATATAGTCCGAAATTACGCGAGAATGCAACAAAATGACACGTACTAACAGATGTGAAGTAAAGTGTCGAATGAAAATGAAAAAGGAAAATAAAATTCAAATTCAAATTGTTGGAGGGGCATAGATAAGCGCTTGTCACTTGTCATGACTTAATTTTTTTACGACAGATAATAAATATTGCTGTTAATACCACACCACGATTTCTTGGTGTATTTGCATGGTTATTCACGGTATAATACGTATTAAAAGTTTTAAATAAAAAAAAATGTCATTGTCTTGACTTGGTCTTGACCTCAAGGTTTATGTGGCCAGGTCATAAAATTAAAAAAAAAATTGTCATTGTCTACTGTCAATCAAAGTTCGCGCCAAAATATGACAAACTTTTGAGATGTTTATTTTATTTTTACTTAGCCAAATAAATAAGTAAGGATAACAAATCGAGTAACATATGAAATAATTTTATTCAGCTTGAAGTAAAAATGAAAATTGAAAGTAAACCTTTAAGATATGCTCATGCCGAAGGACACACAGATGTATGTTTTTCTGAAGATGGACAGTAAGTTAATTTTGGTATAAACTTGAATATTGACTTGTGTTCTCATCACTTCATTAAAACTGAATTTAGTAGGTAACGCGAATAAATGTTGTTATTCCCAGGCACATAATAACATGTGGACATGATGGTGATGTAAGGATTTGGCTTGGTATTGAAGATGACGACCCAAACTCTCACTGTGTTGGAGAAAGCGCGCTCGCCGTGTGTTTTAAGGATAAAAGACTGTATGTGGCAAATGACAACCATACAGTTCAAGCATATACATTCCCAGCATTTGACAAAGATGGTATTGTCACCAGATTCACAGCACCAGTTACTCAGATTATGTCCTCACCGCAAATTGAGGTTAGACATCACTTTATATTGTTGTATATTTTAATAATTTAGTTTAAAATAGTAGATCTGATAAACGCCTCATAATATTATTTTAATGGGTACCTTCTTTTTTCAATACACCTTTGAAAAAAAATTGAAATAATAACTTTAGATATGGTAGTTTAAGTAAACAAAACTTAAAAATACCTAAGAAATATGTAAATCTTATGAGTACTGATTATATATTTTTCCAGGTGTTGGGATGTTGTTCAGAGAATATGGAGTCTAAAATTTGTAACCTAGAAGGTGGTGCTCCATTGTTTGTGATGACAGAACATAAGGGTCCAGTGCTGAGTGTTGCAATATGTCCCCATATGAAGTATGCGGCCACTGCTTGTGGAGATGGAGTGTTAAGGATATGGGATATAGACACACAAAAAATTGTTAAAGAAGTGACCTGTGTCCCTAAAATAAACACATTCTATGCCGCAAAAGTGTTATGTATGATTTTTAAAATATTAAAATCTTATCAGTTTTTAAATGAGGATTCTTGTTTTAATTGATTTGGTGATTTAAATTTTTTTTGCAGGTAGAATAAGTTTTGAGCCATCAGAAGGAAAATATTTGGCATATCCTAATAACAGAGAAATTATATTACTAGACTCTGAAAGTTGGGGACAGAGACTCACATTTACACATAGTTCGGTTGGTTTAATTGTTATTCTTATATTTTTACACACCAAGAAACATGAAATATAATCCAAACTATGTTAGATAGCTTCAATTTTTTGGTTAAACGATATATAATCTTGAGTAAACCAAACCTAAGGTTTTTTCTTCATCATTTAAGTACTATGCCAAGTCATGATTTAGTTTAGTTATGCATTATCTATATTTTAACTTCTGTCCATCAATCATACTTACTTTTTGATACTGTTCCTTGAATTTTTGATGAATTTCTTTAATTTTTTTCCAGATAAAATGTGCAATTTCCCAATGCCTTTTCTCGCCATGTGGTCAATACATAGCGGGGAGTACAGTGGCTGGTCAAATAGCAGTGTGGGAAGTACAAAGTGGCACTTGTATAGGCATCATTGAACATCCAACATCGCATAACGTTTCAGCCATGGCTTGGAGCCCTAAAGGTTGGTACTAAAATGGCCTTTAATAGTACATTAAGGCGTTGTTATTAAGGCGTCAGTTGGAGGTAAGTGCTAAATATTAATTTTCATTGATTTATATGGCAGGTAATGGAGTCCTGGCATATTGTGATATTGCTGGACAATTAGGAATGCTAGTGAACTGTTATGGACAAGACAGCAACAAAGTAAATGGAGACTCAGAAGATATTGAAATGGTAGAGAGAGATGGTAAGAATTTAATCAACTATTACCTGACTCCGTCGGCCCGGGTTAAAAAAAACTTAATTTGTATCCTATTTCACTATGTTCTACATCTATGCTAAATTTCGGCGAGATCCTTGTAGCCATACTGGACATACCTTGTAATACATATTGATCTGACCATCCAGACATTCTCAGATATAATATTAGTAAGATGATTCAATCACAGCAAGTTCTTTACTTAATTACAAACTATGTTTAATAATTTATTAGAAAAGCATGTATATATTTTAGATAATGACGATTTAGTTGAGAACCTCATACATAACTATGAAAGTGATGATGACAATGCAATATCCTTGGAGAAGATCAAGAATGATACTCTGGGGCTGACAACGGAGCAGGAGTCTCGGCCGCAGTCGCGACACGCCGCGCCCGCACCCTCCGCCGTGCCCCCGCAGCCGCCCTTCCAGCCCTCCGCTACACCTGCACACTTGGAGCACAGGTTATTTTAAACTAATTAGTAGTTGCCACTTAATTTAAGATCTTGGCTTCTCAGAATTTTACATAATTAGCTGCTCAGAATACCGTTATAGGTGTAGCCGGGCATAAAAGAATATTGAAAAAAAAAAACAGTGTTTCTACTGCAAAAACCAGTACAAAAACATTGTAATATTATTTTTTCAAATTAATGTATAGAATGTCTATGGAATTGGGCTAGATTTATATTGCTCTGCCTTTATTTATGTTGAAAGGATGTTTCATTAAAGTTTGTAATTATTTAGTTAAAGACAAAAAATCGCAGTATTCAAAAAATCTATGTATGTACCTAAAAATTTTGAACATACTGTTAATGTATTAATACAGTTTTGTTTTTTTTTTTCAGATACATGTGTTGGAATGATATAGGTATAGTGAGATGCCACACCGCAGAGAATGGGGAGTCGAGCATTGACATTGAGTTCCACGACTCCAGTTTGCATCATGGAATTAATTTAAACAATTATTTGAACCATACTATGGCCAGTTTATCCTCCAGTGTATTGGCTCTGGCGTGTGAAACACCTAGGTGAGTTATGTAATGTTTTAACAAATACATTATATAATATATTAAAAAGTACTAATAATATGTTTCTACTATTGTTCACTTGTCACTCTGTCTGCGAAATTAAAAAATAACATAATTTGTTGTCTATGTTCTTTCAGACTATGTTCTATATCTATACTAAATTTCATCGAGATCTTTTCAGATGTTCTGGAGGTACATTCTGGTACATTCTAAGCATCCATTTAAACATTTGCATTTATAATATTAAGATTAAAAAAAAATCATTTAAATTTTAAAAGAAACAGTGCAGATTCTATATATTTGCCTCCTTGCAAAAATGTAACATATATTATTTCTTTCACTAAAGCAGAAAAAACTCGACCGTAAAATACAAGTGAAATATTTTATGTTTCCAGTAAACTAGTATGCATATCATTGATGGGTAGCAGTAAGGAATGGAGTGTCGCCATGCCCGATACTGAAGAGATATTGTGTGTATCAGCCACCAGCGCGCTGGTCGCCTGCGCCACTGACGCACGACTGTTACGGCTCTTCACAACTATGGGTACACAGAGACAGGTACATGTACTTAAAAAAATATATATTAATAAGTACTGGTAGGAAGGAAATACGAAAATGAGACGGTGTATTGACTCAACACTAGCCTTATTAAAATGTCGACGTATATGTTTCCTCACTATTCATTCTGACACTAGACTTTGTAACGAAAGCACGTCACTTCTTCTTCTTCTTCTTCTTCTTCTTCTTCTATTAAGAAATACATTGATTTGATATATTTCAACTTAATATAACTAACACTTAATTCCAGGTAATATCATTACCAGGACCGGCGGTTGCATTATCTGGATTCAACACGACGGTGATGGCAGTGTACCACAGCACTGATCCAGGATTATCGGATCAGCATCTCGCAATGGACATTATAGCTCTTAATGGTAATTTTTTAATGGATTACATTCTAAAAAAACAGTCCAATTTTATTTCATTAATTGCAAAACCAAGTCATAAACTACATATTAACTCTTCACATCACATAACAACCTTATAACTTATCATTTTCAGGTCGACAAGTACGAAGCAAAACGGTCCATTTGCCTTTAACCCCAGGATGTAAGTTAGCTTGGCTGGGCTGCACAGACGTGGGATCACCCTGTACATATGACACAGCTGGTATACTGCGATTGTATGACATAGCCAGTGGCATCTGGATGCCTATATGTGATACCACCGCACACTCTAAAGGCGCCTCTGATACCTGGTTTATTGTGTCTGTAAGTATATTAAACTACAAAATAAGTATTAAGGTAGAGATAAGACTAGCTGTTGCCCGCGAGACTGTAGTCTGACAGAACATATGAGCTACTATTTTCTATTATCTATTCTGGCTGATATTTGGCATAGATACATCTATCTATAAATATCAGCCAGATCCATGCCACACTTCTTGAGATACCTTATAACAAACATCCATACAAACATTTGCATTCATAATATAACTAGCTGTCGCCTGCGACTCCGTCCGCCCGGAATAAGTTAATAAGTAGCCTATGTGTGTGTGTATGTGTCCCGCAGCTGTTCTGAAGATATCTTCAAACAAACATCCATTATCCGTATTAGTAAGATATGTGGCATATTTTTGTTTTCAGATAAGTGAGCCAACACAGACAGTGCGAGTGATCCTCTGCAGAGGTACTTCGTATCCTCTCACTGTTCCAAGACCTATTGTTACTGAAATACCTCTACAAGTAAGTACTTTCTAATTGTATACAATTTAGTACATGTCCTCATAAAAATACATTATGGCCAATTGTTATTCAAGACAGTAATTATTTTTGTACGAAATTTCATCCAGATCTGTTCAGCCGTTTTGGAGTTTCCCGCAAACATCCATCTATATTAAACTTTCGCTATTATAATATTACTAGTCGCCTGCGTCTCCGTCCGCGCGTTTAAAAAAATACAACATTATTAGCCTAAGTGTTTTTCCAGGCTATGTTCTACATCCGATCCGTTTTGTGGTTCTGGAGATACCTTCTAACAAACATCCATACATGAAATAAGAAAGAAGTAAGATTAGTAAGATAATTTATATTTTAGATCCCGCTGTGTGAGTTGGACAATGAGAAATCTCAGTACGAGGAGCAGCTGGTGCGGTGGGCGCACACCACCGCTGATGTAGACGTCAAGACCGCCAGGGAGACCGCTCTCAAACTATTCGCTGTATGTATTACTAGCGGTCGCCCGCGACTTTGTACTTGTGGGATTAAACATTTAATTAGTAGCCTATATTTTCTTCCAGACTATGTTCTACATCTATGTCAAATTTCAGCCAGATCTATACAATCGTTCTGGATGTACCTTCTAACATCCATCCAAACATTCCAATTATGTAAATAAATAAAAGATGAATTCCACACGTGGCACTATTTCATATTTTCATCGAGTTAAAAATTAGACTTTACAGTAAAAAGTGAACCCTATTGTCGAAGATATTTAAGCTGTGGTTTTAAATCTAATTTAACTTTATGAAATTCCTACTCTTCCAATGTAGTTGGCGTGTCGCAGTGAGATCGAACAAAGAGCGTTAGAACTGATGGAACTTCTAAAGGACGAGAAGTTGCTACCGTTAGCTGCTAAATACGCGTCACGTCTCGGTCGTATGCACTTGGCGGACAAGTTGTCTGACTTGGCCGACAAGTGGCACACTGACGCTGACAAACTGAACGTGGCTCACAACTCTCACTTCCAAGAGTTGGAGACGCAGGAGACATATGATGTGACACAGGATGATATGAACTCCAGTATTATCATACCACAAAGGATTAACAAAAAAGTAGAAAGTGTTGCACCTATTAAACCAGTGGTAAGTAATTAAATCGCCATCAAACTATTTGGCTTTGTTTAAATAAAAAAAAAATGCACACTCAGAGTTGCCATCACAAATTATTTAGAGCGAAAAATATTTTATTTTAATTTTTAGTGGATTTGTTTATATTATTCACTAGGTCTCGTCCTCGACTTAGTCTGGGCGGTATTAAATAAAAAACTTTATAAGAACCCTATGTGTTCTTCCAGACTATCTTCTACTGTGCCAAATTTCATCAAGATTCTTTGAATCGATCTGTAGATATCTTTAAACAAACATAAATTCATCCATCTAAAATTTCGCATTTATAATATTAGTAAAGTGAATATTTGCGTTATTATGTATAATTTTTATTTCAGCCAATAAAATCGTCTCCTATGGGCAAGCGGAATCCGTTCAGAAAGCAACAGGACACTATCAAAAGTGGACAGAATCCTTTGAGCTTGACGGACAGGACTCTGGTTGAAGTTCACACAGTCCCGGAGGCTACAGAAAATAATGATGTAAGTATGCGATGTTATTTATACAGCTACAATAGGCTTGAAAATCATCTTTAACCAAAAAGTTTCTCAAATTTAGTTAAAAGATCAATATTGTTTTTTGCATTATTAAAAAAATTTATGTTTCCTGACTATCTTGAAATCATAAAGTTAATTTTGTGTCTACCCAAATATTTATAAATGTATGTATGTGATAATCCTAAACAAAATGTTCATTTGTCCATCAGCCCTTAACACCACTGGAAGGTGAAACATTTGTCCTATGGTTTTCACGTAACAAAAGTACACTGGAAGAACAGCATCCTGAGCTGACACCTTCGGAACTGACTCGTCAAGGAGTGAGGATGTTCAAGAGCATTCAAACTGCATCTGAAGGTCCACAGAAGAGGAAGCTAGAAGACTCTACTGACGCATCAGTCACTAACGCTCCTAAACAATCTAAACTTAGCGCTTTTGCCTTCCAGAAAAAATGACCATAGATATTGATACTATTTTTATACCTTGACTCTTAATAAATTTGATTCGGTATCGTCCATTAATTGCGTGTGACTCGAAAAGGGGGGATTTGTTTCGAAAAAAATCATAAAACATCACAGAGAGGGTGGGTTGAGGGGTGAACATATTACGTGTATTTTCTGACCGATGCTGTAAATTTAATGAATAAATCTATAAAAGAAAGTAACACGTAGTTACACTATTTATAACTCAAGAACGAAAATGGTAAAAAGGAGGTAGCTTAGAGCCAGGAGACGAACATAGGATACTATTTATTCATTTTTTTCGAATTTATGTCTTGAAGAGCTGTTTTTTATTTAACTTACTAATATTATAAATGCGAATGTTTAGATGGATGTGATGGGAATGGTGGATGGGTGGGCTACACTAATAAGCTTTATTATATATCCACGCGGGCAGAGTCGCGTGCGACAGCTAGTTAACAATATTTTGAACATTTCAATATTTTTTTGGAGTAAAAATACGTTATTTTAGGTATAGGGAGGGGTCTATAACCTCACCAGATATCAACAGAGGGGTTTAAAAAGTTGCTGTTATCACGTGATTAATGGACGACCCATTAAATATTATATGACAGGGTTTAATTAGATATATAATAATATAAGGGAAACAGGATATTTTCAAATTACAATTGTCGAGACTTCTGTTTGATTTTTTTTTTTCAAAGAGTGGCTACGTTGGTTAACAGTTGCAACTTATACTGGAATTAATGTCATTTCAATAGAACTGTCTTTTACCTTTTTACGTTTTTGTTGATATGATCGGCGATTTTTTTCAAATCTATAATTTTGTTAAATATATGACTGGTCTAATTAAGTATTTAAATATATTATATAACATTTAATGTATGTAAATATAATTTAATAAAACATTACACATTAAATGCAGTTTTGTATATATTCAAATTTTTTTTTATTAAAAATAACATGTGATTCTCAAAAACGTTACCATAGAACTTCACTGTGGTCGCACTAATGTTAATACATATTGCTGTCCCTTTCATTTACATTGATATAATAGAGACTGACATATGTACGTAACGGCAATGGAATTTTTTTTTTGAAAAACACATTTTAGTAGTACCATAAGTATATATATCCATCATAACACTTGAAAAATTAGTATAGTCAAAGCTGGATAAGCGAGTATCATTGTGAGGTCCCGACGGATATTCATAGAGAAACACGGGTTAACGGGAAACATAAACGAAAAAAATCAATCCATTGGATTCTTGCTTATCCAAGTTCGACTGTATTTTGTTAATATTAGTAGATTTTCATAAATTTACTAATATTTCTTGTACCATTCCATCTAAGTTCTACGCTTATGTTAGGATATGGTTTACGACAATAGTCGAATGGCGGGATTCGAACTCCCGATCTTGTGATCGGAAATCCGTACCATTAACCACTAGGCTATTGCCGCTTCAAGTATTTAAATCCATAATTGACAATCTAAATAATATTTGTAATTGTTATTTATGCATTTGCTAGTTCTGTATCGTCGGGTGGAGGAAATATGCCTTCATTCAACATCCGCTGCCATTCACTACCATTGGGGTATGTGTATTTCTCCAGTGTTTCTGGTAGGAATTGAGTGCTGTATCCAGACAACTAGAAATAAAATATACAATTAGCTTAGGATAAAAGTAATAACGGTTAGTCTGAACTGTTAACATTGAACGAACCAAAATCTAGCAGTGAAGTTTTTACTAAACAATACAAGCGACATTCTAATATTACTTGCAAACTACATGAACACACAATAAATATTTAGTTATGAAAAAAGTATAACAATTTAACATCTGTTTGTAGCAAAGTCTGAGTATGAAAATTAAGTCCACACTAACAAAAACTTAATATAAAAAAGTTGAAAATCCCAAAGTAAACTTACTTTAGGTGCGAGATATCTCGCGTTCTTAACAACAGTGGGGTCGTAGAAATGTTCATGTTGTTGGTCGACGTACTCTATGAGCCGTCCCTCCATAGTGCCGGAGAGCGAGGCGTAGTCCCAGTACTGCAAGTGTTGTACCATCTCGCACAATCCCACACCTCCCGCGTGCGGGCACACTTTCACTGTTACAAGTTCAAATTCAAGCTTAAAAATCGAACTTAATAATAAAAAAAAATGTAAGCAAGTATTCATACAACATTCATAAAACTACACATACTAAAATAAGAGTAAAGACTAATTGTCGCCCGCGACGTCGTCTACGCGTAATTTAAAAAAAAACTTATAAGTAGCCTATGTTTTCTTGTACACTATGTTCTACATCCATGACATCGAGAGATGTCGAGACGTTCAGGAGATAGCTACTAATAAACATCCATCCATCCAGATAAGAAGAAATCGTTTAAATGAAACATACCATTAAATTTGTAAGCCATCAAATATACGGCGAGTATTTCGTTAATACCGCCAATACGCGCGGAGTCGATCTGACAGAACTGCATACCCCCGCTCTGCAGAAATTGCTTGAACATGACGCGATTTGCGCACATCTCGCCCGTAGCCACACCTATACCGTATGGTCTACAATAAAAAAATAGTAATTATAGACTGACCACGAATATAGGAAACCTGCCACGAGGGCTCGACAAGTTTAGTGCCATTCGTCTTGTGAGTACACTGCAAGAAAATCATATTTACCTTAACGCCTGAGAAATGGTGGCGTGCCCCAAGACATCGTCTGGTGATGTTGGTTCTTCAATCCATAATATATTCAATGGCGCTAATTTCTTCATCCAGTCAATAGCTTCGTTAACACTCCAAGCTTGATTTGAATCAACCATCTATAGAACACAATCATTTCTATAAAATTGGATATCGAATCTTAAATTTGTAGTAAACAAATAAATATATCTTTGATCAATTGTTTATGGGATGATAAACCACGATAAGACATACGTGAGTTCATACCAAGAATCTATCCTTGCCAATGTATTTCCGAACTTGACTGCATCTTCTGTAATCTTCTTCTAAATTCAGACCGACTTTAACTTTGAAATGAGTGAAGCCAAGTTTTATATATTTTTCACAAAGTTCTTTCACCGTCTCATCGCTATATCCCAGCCAACCTTAAATTATAAACAGATAATTTATATTTATTTAGCATTTTGTTATAAATTTTAAAAAATATGGAGATGTAAAATGCGAAATAAGTATGGTAGACACAAACGGAAAATACGGAGATACCAGGCATTTCTCGCTGTATGTAGAAACTGTGGAATCCCCTGTAAGATTTATTAAATAAACTAGTTGTCGTCCGACCGCCCGCGAGGAATAAAAAAAAAACAAATGTGGTTCCCCATGGTGGTGGCCTACATGTGGTTCCAGAATACGTTCTAGGACTGTGCAAAATTTCAGCGAGATCCGTTGAACCGATCTAAACATTCGCTTTTATACTTTTAGTAAGATTTAATAGACAAGCGATTGGACTGCAAAATTTTTCTCGCTTATGGAGTTTGTCGGGAACTGACGATGATTTTATCGTATGAAGGTTTCTCCCTTATCCAGGTTTGACTGTACAGTTTCACGGTCTTAAAAATTAAACAATCACAATGTCTTACCAACTTGAGTTGTGTACGCTGGATATCCATTTTCCTCTAAATACTTAACTCTTTTCTGTTTGTCATTATTTTTATCTTTAAGCAATTGTATTGCTTCTTCTTTAGTTAATACATCGGTTATGTAACGGAAATCGATCGTTGACACCAGCTCCTGTAATTATTACATAACATTGATATTTGATAACTTATGTTTGTCTTTGATAACTTTCAAACCCTCTTATTTAATATTTAAATAAAAATAATAGCAATATCAAAAGTAAACATATTACGTGACATTCAGTTATATAATCTTTGCTTAATTCTATTCCTATATGTAATTATGATATTGTAAATAATTGATAAATTTCTAAATTAAATCATACAATGGTACCAAAAATGAATTTTAGACTATGGATTTACAAAATATTAGCTTGTAGCAAATCCAGCTAGTTTTATTGTTAATCATTTACAAGTTTTTATTGCTATTTCGACCGAACACATGTTTCACATTCTATAATAAAAACTTAATTACGCTTTTTATAAATTATTTAGTTTACCTCAGGTTCCATGTCTACTAACAACCTCCACACTGGCTTGTTTTCTAGCCTGGCCCAAAGGTCCCATAGGGAATTTAATATGGCTGCCACCGCTAAGTGGCTTACTCCCTTCTCTGGACCAATCTACAAAAAAGTATATTAATTTTATTTTACAACCATTTAAAATCGTAACGTAGGTTTTTAGGACTATGGTAAAACTGAAATTAATGTTTTACTAGGAATAGTCCGCAACCAGAGGAGTACCAGAACCTCTTTTCTTTTAAATGAAACATCGCGAAGTACTAACCCATCTCATCTGCGAGTCATTCGTGATGGCGCGCCAAAAGCCAGCGAAGTCCGCGAATATATCTGCCGCGTTCTTTCCCAAGACGAACTTCTTCAAGGACCTGATAGTGAAAACAACTACCTCGGTGCCCCTCCCACAGGTAAACGTCAATCCATAGCCTTTACTACCCTTCTCTGTTGTGATTGTGACGTAAGCACACGAGTAGTTTGGATCGGTGTGCTAAAATAACAAAATTTAAGTATGTTTTTCGCAATGGACAGTTAATCACAGAATTCTAAATAAGTTGTGGGTAAATGCAATATTTTACACGAGCAAATTGCTGGTTGGTATGTAATACCGATATAATTGTATATAAACACAAAAAAAACAGAATGTTTACATTTCGTCACGTTCAATGATGTTACAAAGTCGTATGTTAATTACAACACATAGATAATATAAAAAACAAAAGCCAAATTATTAAGCATTTTAATTAGATATAAATACCATAATTAGGATGTGTTAATGTGTATATTACCAATGCATCAGAGCCATGTCCACCAAGCGACGTAGGAAATCTAACGTCTTTGACGTCGATGTCTACGATTTTTAATCCGGTTCTATCAGGCACGGGCATCTCTGCGCAGTATCACTTCACTACTGAGCCTGAGCTCATTAACTGCGCGAAAATGTCTTGTTGCTCTGTTGCCCTCAGATAACCTCATTCATTTCGTTATCAACTTTTAAACACAAAAAGATGCATAATGAATGTAGCATTTTTCTTAACCATATTTTATTGAGAATGAATGAATGTCGAGTGGTTTACTTATGTAATTAAAAGATATTTTTTTTAAAACTTTTTAATATAAACCAAGTACTTAATTGTTCATATAAACATTGTATATTCTTAATCTATTAAGCTCTATTGTCCTAATGCTATTATTTTGATATTAATCATTGTTGTTTGACATAGGATTAAATTTTAGGAATTAATATGTTCACTATTTTATGTCAAAACCGAACTCTATACCATATTATAAAAATATGCAAAAAGTACAAAACAATGTCTTTTACAGTACAGTATTAATCTTTAATTTTTCACGAGATTAATTTTGGCCCCAGGATAGAGTTAAAATTAAATCCAAGTTGTGAATGAAAAAAATTAATAAGCCCAATTGACAAATTGAATAACTTGAATGATTAACACAATAGGGGGTCCTAATAACATGGTCTTTTTACCCCATCCCGCTCTGGATGTGTTGAGGTTTTAGACTTTCTCTAACCCTTCATAAAGAACGAGTAGTATTTTAATACATAATATTTTACCTATAACAATAATATAAAATTCCAAATTAGTTACATACTTTTCCTAAATACCTCTAACAGTGTTATGATTACAAAGTATATAAAATAACATATTAAACTTAATTATGAATATTTCTAATATATAGGTCCCATATACAATCACAGCTAATAATTTTATCACTATAGATATGTCACCTATAGATGTGTTTCATACAAGATTTACACATAAAAGTGAGTCTATTTTCCAAATGTCATTTTGTATTGTCAATATACCTCAACAAAAGGCCTCCGGAAGCTTATTTTCCCTTCACTTTTGTGCGTATTTTCTATTGGTTACATATCTACGTTTAGTACGTTATGACTATGACAAATCATACTATTAATCTCTGTGAAACATTTTCTAATCTATCACATAATAATAAAAAAATGAACAATATTTTTTTTGGAATACTTTTAAAAATCTGCTACTGAAGGTAAATATTACTATATTTTCAACATGATAAAATATGGCCACACATCATTAGATAATAAGTCATTTCAAAACAAGTTAATTTGTAAAGAGTTTAACATTTGTTAACACATTCAGAACCATCAAGTCACCTAGTGAGTTCATAGTAATAAATGAAAATCAGTGGCATTGAATGTGTTAAGTATTTTGAGCTGATACAATTTAGTGTTACTTCAATTTTATGTTAAATATCTGTTAATTACATTCATTTATAATAAAAATTCATTTTTATAAACTATCTCCTTCTAAAATCACAGACAAATATAACATCATAGACTATAATTGTCTATGATAACAATAATTGCATTATTGATATATTAAAAGTTTTAGCATCACATTTTCTTAATGATAATTTAATTAACTATTAAATGCTCATTATGATGTGTTCTTTATTGCTTGTTCTTTTTGTATATGATGGCCAATTCTTTAACCAGTTGTCTCTCTCCTTCTTCCCAGAGCTGAGTCGTAAGCTTCCCCAATGTCCCATCATCATCATTACGTACCCAATCTAACAGAAGTTTATAACGAACCTAAAAAGTAGAATATTGTCATGAAGTAATACTTTTAATTTTATCAAGGTTTGTCATAATATTATAAAAACAAACAAGTAATATCAGAAAATTATGTGCAAAGCCATGGGTAATGACTAGTCATTGATGATTGAATTTTATTGTACCACATACCTCTGCTATGCCTTTTCCAGCTTCGTCTATCTCAAATGTTTCAATTCTATTTTTGCTGTATCCAAGTGCTATAAAAACACTGTGCCAGTTTTTACCAAGGTTTTTTGATATGTAATCTATATACTCATGATTAGGCTGAAATGATAAAGAGAAACTGCATTAAATTTTATGAAATAAAAAATTACATGGTAAATAATGTTGAAAAATCAGAATGTAATAAGAGAAAGCAAATTTGATATTAGTATGTAATATGTGGCTTTCTTCACCAGCACCGATATAAAAAAGTTCATAACTGAGGAGTTAAAATTACACAGACTTGAGTATTGCCTCTTTTTATACTTTGCTAGCAGTTGTCTGTGACTATGGCTGTATGGAATTTAAAAACCTACTATTAAATATTGCCTATTTCACCTAAGGAGTTTAGCTTCCTAACAGTGAAAGAATTTTTCAAATTAGTTTAGTAGTTTCGAAGCCTATTCAATACAAACAATCTTTCCTCTTTAAAATATTAGTACAGATACTACTAAAACTAGATATAATTAGAAAAAAACGACCACTTTTTTTCAAATTTACCTGAATTGTTGCTTCCATAATAAGCATGATAATGTTACTCTTTTCAATGTATTCTACATCTTCTTTGGCCTGTTTTGACTGAACATTAGTTGGGCCCATGTAATAGACAATTTCATTACCCCAGTGCACATCACGAGAATTCACTATATTGATTACATTTCCAGTGGCTGTTAACAGAAAACAATCATATTATTGGATACATACTTCAATGTTTAATCACCATACAATGGCCTGATAGTGTGAAAATATTAAGTTTTTCATCTCCACACTTTGTTTTTTTTTATTAGCAGTATAAAATGTAAAAAAAAATTAAAGTTAAAGGCAAACCTTGAACATTAACGTTGTTGTTGCTGTGTTTATGTTCTTTGTCTTCCTTTGGGGGCGATCCGAAAGTATCCTTCTTTTTTTTACCAGGTTTAAAGAAATTGTTGTTGAAAGGTGTCTTTTTCTTTTCTTTCTTCCGTACATCAGCATCGACATCTTCCTGTTCTCCATTACCATTAAATTCGCTTTCATTCTCTCTGTTATCATTTTCACTGAAAACTTCTTCAGCTTCGGGACGCGGTGGTCGGGGCACTGCATCAGATTTCAAATTACGAAAGATCTCAAAAAATTTTGCCCCTATTGCGGCCATGGTAATATTTTGTAGATTTATGCGAAATTTTACAATATTATAATACAAAAAACATAAAAACCCCTTGATTAGCAACACAGTGACGTATAAATGACGTAATGACGTTTAACGTCATGGAGTAAAATTATGTCAGTGTCAAAATTTATGACAACAAAATATAGAATAAACAATCCATAACGATCTAAAAAAGTTCTTTTTTTGAAGAAATGTGAAGGCTCGGTTTGTCATTTAGGACATAACCATAGTAACGTATTCAATAAACTTTTGTATATATTTACTTTATATATTTTATTTAGTAATGGATAACACCTCATGGTTACTATCAAATCTTTTTAAAATAACCTTTTTTGAAACTCTTCATGCTAAAAGTTCAAATTCCAATCCATGTTCTCCAAAAAAAAGTACTGGAAGGCGCGGAGGAGGCGATGCTTCCTCTTTATCTGATTGCCCTTGCAATGCTCCGAAATGCTCAACAAATACCGTCTGCGATCGCGGCAAGACTGGAGCCGGTGTCACTGGTTCGAGGTCTGAAAACAGAGAAACAGAAAAAAGTTCGAACTACTTGGCTGCAGGTGCTATTAACCCCGGACTACTCCGACATTTACATAATGCCGCTCGATATAGATTACCACAGTGCTTCGAAGGCGCTTGCGTCTCAGTCAAGCAGAGTTCCGCTAGCAACTGGATTTTTGGGCACTCTTTGTCATTTAGTTCAGTTTCTCCTGGAGGTTACAAGGTCCTATTATCATACTTGGACAAAGATAAACCGACTGATTTACCATACTTCGTGATGGAAGCTGCTCCTGGGGGTCAGCTGAGTTGTGAGTTCCGCGTGGGTCCGACACAGGCAACTCGAGCCACTGTTGTTGCACAAATTGCTAACGGAAAATTCGATAGCTTTGAAAGTATTGTTGATGCATATTTTAACAGCTTTACTGCTTCTGTGATTGCTGTAAATAGAGAATTTATTGCAATACATTATTTGCAGGTTTGTACGCCATTTTATTTTGAAATATCACACATATCTTGTTAAGTAAATGTTAAGAGGCGGGAAGATACGCATGTGACAAAGAGAATTTTATAATTATGAATGTGGAGGTTTACACCAGTAGGAGTTGGCCACGAAGAAGATGGATGAAAGTTTGCGTGAAAGGTGATGAATAATGATGAAGAAGGGAGAAACGATTGAGATGACATAAGATAGATCGATCTAAAAGTCAAAAACCAGTTCCGCCGAACTTTCCAGGGTGGGAGATGTTGACCCTTTTTTAAGTTAAAAATAACTCTTGAAAATTGAAATGTAACAGAAGTGAAATCACATATTATTGCAAGATCCTATTTGGGTTGTTGTTCTACAGCGTTTGTTTGTATGTTAAACCCTGCAGGCAATAACAGAACGTCTATCGCTGGGTGCGGAGGTTGTGGGTCGAGGACGGGCGCCCGAGCTGACAGCGACATCAGCGGCGGCACGTTGGGCCGGCGAGGAACACTCTGTCAGCGCCACGCTTGGCAGCCGCGGACTTGACCTTTGCTATGCTCGCGTTCTTCGACCGCATCTCACCGCTGCGGCTATGCTCGAGGTATTTTGATTCTGCTCTCTGGACTATGCCATTTATAAATGCTCTAGTACTTATGTAGTCTAGTAGTATAGTCTCTAAGTTTTCCGAGAAATAAGTATTCTTATCTCGGCTGGCCAGGAATGCTTAATTCAAAAGAAGACATAAAAGCGATATAAAAAGATAAAAGTACAATTTCAGACTCTAAGGTAATTGACGACAGACGGCGCAAACGACACAATTACTTAATTTTGTTTATGTTAGCGTACAAACGACAACGTCTTGTGTTTGTTTTATATTCCTAATTTGTAAGTATAAGTTTGAAGTTTGAGCTCGTTTCATTCATCGTTCAATTTTCGATGACAAAATTTTGTTTAAAAGAGATGCATCTGACACAAATCGCTTAAGTATTCAAATCTCTTGCTTGTTATCTTATTTACAACCACACATTTATCCCCTTATATGCTGTATATGAATAATTTTTCTACAGGTTGGGTTTGCGATCCGTAAGGCCGTGGCTACATTAGCGTATGAATGGCGGTCGGACGACTGGACTGTTCGTGCTTCTGTCGACTCGGACGGTCTTGTGGGAGCCACGTTACATCGGGCTCTCGGTGGCCGACGGGCGAAGTTAGCCTGCGCCATTTCCGCACTTCTAAACCATCCTAATGACAAATTTAGACTCGGATTTGGTGTTACAGCTGCTATTGTATAAACTTGTTTTTGATTTTTTTTTTGTAATTTTGTACAATGAATTTGTAAGAATTTTATTTAATATACCAATATATTTTAAAATCATATACGAATTATGCATTGGATTTGATTGCCGTAAAAAATATTTACACAGTTACATTTATATTTCTGTCGGAATAGAGTGTAACAATGTTGTAGATTATCTTACACCTACATACTATATACTTAGTAATTCAAAAACTTATGACTTTTAAAATTAAATAATTTACAAACTTACGTTCATATCAGTGTTACACGTAGAGTCCAGTTCCTTCTTCGAGTTATTACTTCACACACAATCTTTGAAAACTTTTAAGCAATAATGTATTTAAACATCCACAAGAACACCAGTGAATAACAAAAAAATACACTTCAATACACGTGTATAAGACTCGGATGTAATTTTCGGAATAATTCAAATTTTCACAATTTTTTTTAGTAACATTACGCGACGTATTGGTCCCTGAGCACCTACGATCAGAGAAAAGTGTTAAAAATTCATTTGCAATATAACGATAATGTAGGCGTATGTTATTCGCCGCCGGCGGTGTTTGTGGCAAACGCGAGACGCGTGTAAGGCGGGCGAAGGGCGGGCGCGTGCGCGATGCTTGGGCGGGGACTTATCCCGCCTTCGTGTACCCTCGCTACAAGTTTGAACCCAAACGTAGGACATTTTAAGCTGAAGGTTGGATGTAATGGCTTCAGTTAACATTGTGTAGGCGTAAGGCCCGCCCTCGATGCGATGTGGGCTTTAGAGCGTGGCGAGTGATGGCCGCGCGCGGTGACGCGTGCTCGGGGCAGTAATGGTGATGGAGCGGCTGGCGGACTTCGTGAGCAAGTCGCTGGAGGGTGGTTCGGCGCCGACGCCGCCGCCGGAACCCGGGGAGCCTGACGTCGACGAGGAGGTGGACATCACCGCGCTCGAGGACAAGGCGCCGCCGGCTAAGCGGCCGCGAAACTGGCTCATCTCGCCGCTGCCCCTCAGAACCTGCAAAAAGGAAACCGATGACGATGACGACGCGAGACACGGTATGAAAATATATTTACTCTCTGTTCATTGATAGCGACCTCTAGACATTTCATATTATTCTTGTGACGTATAAAACTTAAAAAAAAAGTTGTTTTTGATCTTGTATGTAATATTGTTCCATCATGATTTACCATCGTCATAACAAAAACAGTGAGATGGCTGACTGTTTGCCATATCATGATCTAAGTACGTATGTAGTAGTAAAGTTGCATAAAAATTACGCAGGAATCACATTAATACCCACATTCTTATTAAACTTTCGATCTGATGAATGGCTTGTTTCAGTTTTATCACCAAAAGGGGATAATGATTATTCTAAACACTTTTTTCTTGGACCCAATTTAATTAAAAAATAGTACTTTCTCCTGTTCACTCACTATTATTTGGCCTATTACGTTTTTGTAGTAACGTTGTTGTTTACCCTGTATTTATAAAATTCTGACCATAATTCGGAAAAAAAATCTGAAACAACGTCGGAAAGCTCACGTTTTAGATTATTTCCAGGTCGGCTATATTTTAAGCAATGAGTGGCTAATATATTTAAAGTTAGGACAGAAGAGTGAAGGATGATGAAGGAATTGGTGGAACGATAATCGTTACTTATTTAAGCGAGTACTTAGAGGAACGATTTTATTGTTTGTTTGCAATGAATGACTGAACCGATTTGAACATTGTTTTCAGTGTTACACTAACCCCAGGTGATACAGGCTATATATATTTATTACTAGATTTTTTTTAATTCCACGCAGACGAAGCCGCAGGCAACTTCTAAATATCACATAAGTATACAATGACTTTTAACACCGTTTTTAGATCCAAAGCTTAAGTTTTTTATACCATAGATAAGCTCAAATATTAAGCTAAAATTGGTAAAGGACAATTTTTTTCGATAATTTTTTTTATCGCAAATCAATGTGATATTAGTTGTCCAAAAGATTTTCATCATTCATACGAGCACACCAATTTTATTTGTACCCTAGCTGTCGCCCGCGACTCCGTCCGCGTGGATTTAAAAAAAACTTAATTAGTAGCCTATGTGTTCTCCCATACTATGTTCTACATCTATGCCAAATTTCATCAAGTTCGGTCCAGCCGTTCAGAAAAGCACTTCAATCAAACAATCGCATTTGTAATAATTACTAAGAAGTGAGATATAGTTTTAACGGTCTGTCCTCGGCGGTATTTCCAAACCAATACGACTTAGGGTCCTTCAAGAAGCGAGTCTATCACCACCTCAAAGGCCGGCAACGCATCTGCGGTTCCTCTGGTATTGCTGATGTCCATGGGCGTCGTTGAACACCTCGGTGTTACCGCTGCTCGTTTGCCCCCTTCTGTTATAAAAAAAATGCAGTAATAAAATACTTTACATCAATGCGAGCTTATGATTTTTTTGTGATTTGTTCGGTCTATAGAGAAAATATGTAGATATATGTTAGATGTCTTTGTCAGACGAAATAACGAAAACGGCAGGTCGCGGAGTGTTGCATGATGTAGTTTTCTTTAGAGTTCCTCAATCGTTTTATTAATTACCGTGATTTTTTTTATTTACATAATTAATCATCAGTACGCTATTATTAAAACAAGAAGAAAACAAATCGTTTAACTATTCACCGGTCATTAGTTAAGGTAAATTAATTAAGTTAAATCGCTGTAAAGAAGATACGAGAAAACGATTTAATGGATAACCAGAAAGACATCTCAATGAAATAAATCACAGCTCTTTAAATGGAAGTATTCTGTGCATCGTTTGATAATTAATCACCGGTTCTCAGGTCTTAGCTGTTCAAGAAGTTGAGATACCCCTGGGGGCGACCGAAAGGGGAGAGACCGGGGGAGGGGGAGCGCCTCCTACAGTTGGATAATCCCTCCATTTACATAATTGCCGTATAAAAAGGAGAGCTTCCCAATTTGCTAAATTGCTTCAAACGACACTGTTAAACGTATCGACGCGGCGTTAGACGGGGCGCATTCCCTGAGGGATCGGTTATACATATAAAAATTAACACTGATTTTAAAATAACTTCTGCTATGTATATATCGATCTTAATGTTTTCTTTGGCAGCATTATTTAGTTATTTCAACATTTAATTCGATACAACTATTATGTTTTGAAGATCAAAGATGTAGATATCACGTTTGTATTGAAATTACGAACTTCAGGAATTAGAAATAAATTCAAAAGTTTTGTAGATCAATTGTCAATTTTCTCATTCTCTTACTTTTGTTCTCTAGAAGCTTTTCATTAAAACTATAGATATATTTCTTGACTTTATTAACCGCATGATTTTAACCAGACAACTCGGACAAATCTCCGAACGGGTCTGTGAGCGGCGGATGCGGCGGCGGCGGGGGCAAGCAGCGGCGGTCGCGCACTAACTTCACGTTGGAGCAGCTAGCTGAGCTGGAACGCCTGTTCGACGAGACGCATTACCCTGACGCCTTCATGCGCGAGGAGCTTAGCCAGCGACTTGGTCTTAGCGAAGCTAGGGTACAGGTGAGCTTACAATTTGTCCTAGTGATCGTCTTTTTCCACGTAATAAAGCGCATTGTGTACCTAAAACGTGTTACTTTATCATCTAACTGCATTAATCTCAATGAACTATTTCCAATTTGATCCTAATTTTTTTTGTTTATTTTAGTCAAATATGGTATAAAAGGTATGAGAGGTTCTATAGTTTTAATTTACAAAACTTAAGGAAATTCCTAGTACAAAATGTTTCATATTTTATTAACTTTTGAAAAATAAAAATTACGTGACAATTGAGTTTTACGTTGAGGCCTTCCAATGTGGTATGTTGAGTCTGTCACCTGCCATGGAATCCTTATAAACTACTTTATTAATATTGTTACTTCTATGATTTTGAGTATTTAACTGCAATGTAAAATAGTCATCACCTAACAATGGTCTACTGATAATCAGTGTGTGCGATATTAATTAGGGCGCCACGCGTACCCTTGTGATGTGCACCCATTTAACGTCTCGATCCCCGTACATTACTAATGCAAGTAATTAGCTGTGAGTATCCAACAAGTGCCACTTTAACGGCCATATATCGACATTAGTGCCAGATCGGCGTTAAGCGATATACGTAAGTGTCCAGTAGTAGGGGTTTGTACCCCAGAAAACAACATAAAAATAAAAGCCACTTGACCCTCATGTTGTATTTCTTCACTACTGTCAAGTCGCGAATAGTATTTATTTAAACGTCGAAATCTTTTCAAAATCTTCGCAAACCTAGTATATAGAACATCACAATTTGTATATATACGATTTAAGTAGATACATAGGTATCTAAGTATATTATACTAGCGGTCGCCCGCGACTCCGTCCGCGCGTAATTAAAAAATAACTTAATAATTAGCCTGTATGTTCTTCTTGATTAAGTCCTACATCTATGCCGAATATCATCAAGATCCGTTTAATCGTTCCGGAAATACCTACAAACAAACATCTGACTATCCATCCATCAAAACATTCGTATTTATAATACTAGGAAAAAGTAAGATTGTAAAAAGTAACTAGAAACCTCAATTTCCTCAATATCCATAGCTTGATGCTATGGTTATATTTATTTTTTATTTCTATATTTTAATAGAATAATCCAATCACATATAGAAAAACATTTGTATTACATTGAATATAGTTATGTTCATAACAAATTATTTACCGAGTATAGGGTAACACGGGGTGGTGTTTACATGTTTATTTAGTCGAATTGTCTAATGTAATCAGAGCTAATGAATTCGCCCCTAGTTAGCGCTAACGTATCGGTCTCTGCTAGCGATGTCTTTGTGGTTATATCGTACTATACTAAATATAATTAAACATATTTAATTTTATTGTTATAAATTCTAATAGGAAATTCTGACAAGATTAAACTTATTGAGAAGTTATTAAGCTCATCTCCTAAAAGGTTAGCAAATATTGACAGTGTTAATAACCAGACATTGTGTTTATATTATTCTGTCAACAGTATAAATATGTTCTTAATTTTTTTCATAATGGAATTAAATAAAAAAAACACATTAGAATACTTTAAATCTATCTGACTAGATATTGAACATTAGCACTTTTGTTTATGCTAGTACAAATAAGGTACAATCATTAGGTAAATCATTTAATATTCAAACGGGTACCGATGCGAGGCGACGTCGTAGCTCTTGTCTGTGGAGTGCAATCAGCATGACGTGCCCTCCGCACTAATGCGGTTACCCGTGTTTGTCCGCCGCTGCCTGCACGCGGTCCTACCTACTGTGTAATGTGTACACTGTAAGCTCAGCGTACGTGTTGGGAACCGTAACGCGATTACACTCTACAAGGACGTAGACAACACGCTCGCTAGATGTAGCTTGCTATAATTTTATATAAAATTTTACATCACCCATGTAGTCGATTTTGGTCCTGCCAGCTAAAGTGTAAACATGAAACTTGTAAGTACAGTATTGAAAATTCTAGCGATTAATATACTGTCCGACATAATCAGCTAAAGAAAATAAATATACCGACGCCCAGAGATGTTTCGCATGATTAGTCATATTTTCAATTGATATTATGTTCACATAAACTAATATATATATATACATATATACATTGAAAACTTAACATACAGACGAATTAAGAATTTCTCCCATTTTTGATAGCGGTGAAAAATTTAAATATTAAAATTTATATACCAATTTAGGTTATACTTCTGTTTGGGATACAGTATCACCATATTTTAGTGTTATCGTTTTAGCTGATTGAAATGAACCGCTAACCGCAGCTAGTGCAATAGCGCGACATGTTTGATTTAAAACTAATTAGTATCTGTTCGCAGGTGTGGTTTCAAAACAGACGCGCCAAATGCCGGAAACACGAGAGCCAAATGCACAAAGGTTGGTGTAACATCATTTCAATTTTTTTCTAAATTGATAATGTACTGGCAGAGTATTAAAAGTGAATTGTTAAAGTATTTAGTAAATACCAGAAAAAAGTATGTATGTGCTTTAAAGAGTTTCCAATTTTCGAAATTATAAAAAAATCAAAGCAACTAAGGTCGAAAGTTCAAAATAAGTGCAACACGAACACATTAAGAATTCTCCATCATTCGATGTAACTCGATTAGAGCTCCCGACGGCGCCCGGTCCGACTCTAACAGTTTTTTAATTCGACCATAACTCACGCGGATGAATAATTAAAATGGCGGGCGGAGGTCGAGGCGGCAATCCGCACGAGACGGTAAAAAACGCGAAAGTCGGTACACGTGGGCCGATAAATCCGGCAAATTGCACAACGCACTTACGATACACCCAACCCGCC